TGGTTGTAATGTGACAAAATATGGAAAAGTTCAAGGGGTATGAATACTTTTGCAAACCACTGTAATACATGAAATACGAATACTTTTTAAGTTATGTCCTTTATTTTTAGCGATTATGCTGTGCAATGGCCCTCTTTTGTTTAAGTCTGTGCACTTGGATAAAGTCTGCCATACTCTCAAGTAGCAAAGGCTCATGGGACATATCATAAATTGATAAAATATGAGTTTTTGTGGCCTTATAAAGTGTGCAAATCTACACGTGGGGTTAAATCTGATCTAAATATTTATTGTTGTCATTTCATGTTTCATCCTAATAAATTAAAGCTAAAGTGAACAGCATGAATGAAAACTACCTTCACTACAGCCCTTTTATATAGTCATTTGACCAATGAAAATACTGTGTTTCTACATAGAATAACAGGTTACAACCTTTTAACTTTGGCGACTGTTGGTGGGCCAAATCAAATGGTTTGGCGGGCCAAATTTGGCCCGCGGGCCCCACTTTGGGCTCCTCTGGTTTTAGAGGCTGTTATTTCTTTGAAAGGAGGAGCTACTAAATATTGAGTTTTGGGGTTTTTTTGTGCCCAAATTTATGCACCTGCCTAATTTAGTTTAACCAATTATTGCACACTTTCTGTAAATCACATAAACTTCATTTCATTCTCAAATATCACTGTGTTTGTCCCCTATATCATATATTTAACTGATTTTTTTATCCAAACAATCAATGATTTATAAAAGTAAATCAGGAAAATTAGCAAGGCTGCCCAAACTTTCGCACCCCACTGTAGACAGAACATCAATTCAATAATGACTAGACTTTCCCTTTCACCAACTGAGGAAATGTCCTGAAACTGTTGTCTTTCTTTCAGGAACTCCTGAAGGCCATGGCAACGCTGCAGGTGGAAGAATGGGACACAAAAAGTCTTCAAATACTTGAGAGGGAAGACTCGATCCCTGCTGGGACCCTACCATCAACGCTACCACTTCTCAGGACCTCATCAGCAGACAAACAGGATTCTCCAGAAATGTCTTGCAACTGGATCCAGTCGGACACAGACAGCACAGCTGTAGATAACCCACCTGATAATACGACGGTTACATTATTGGAAACACAACGGACGGACCTCCAAAGCTCACCTTTGACCTTTGGAGGAGACTATATGACGATGGAATTGTTCCAGAAGCTGATCTGTCAGGACGAGGAGCCGGACGCCACAGTTACTGCAGTCACTGAAGACAACTCAGACAACATGATGGTGAAAGCTCTGAGGTTAGACTATGTAAGACAGTTCAGCACCAGGCCACCAGACAGTGAACACGTGTCCACTTGTTTATGATGAAGGTGGGAATGAACTGCGCAACGGTGTGTCTTCTGAATGAATGAAAATGATTTAACACAGTTGTTTATACTTTTAGCAGCTCTTTTTATTCCACAGCTGACCTGCT